TAGAGCTCAACATAAAGTCATGCTTCACTTTTGCAGCAGGAGACTGAGTGAGCCATCTCTGATGCCCTGTTTTTAAATAAAGTAAGGGATACCTTAGATTTTCATAGTACAGATTCTTCCCAAAATCCCAGGGCTGTCCCTTTGCATGCACGTATGATCATGCTGAACATTTTGGGGAGGGGGAAGGGAGTGGACTGAGAAATTGTTTCACAGGTCCTCCTTAGAAGGACAGCTCTGTGGGAGAACAACAAAACCAACCAACCAGCAGGAAGCAAGCAGCAGCAGAATGATCAGAGCAGTCAGTAGGCAGCCTGGGACAGTACTAGCCCAAAACATCAATCAGTAGTCCTTGTACAGACCCACATACCAAGACACTGGCTACTTTAAGTGACACCTTAGAAGTACAGCACTACTCACCAACTAGTGAGAACTCTTAATGCCAGACTATGTACTTGAATACACAATTCCCATTTTAGTCAAAGCATATTGCTTGTGTGTTGGGGGTCTAATTTGGCTCCAACTATCACTTCAACACTACCCATTATACCCTCTCCTCTGAGAGTCTGTCCTTTCAGTCACTGCCCTGAGGCCATCTGTCCAAATATTCTCTCTAGCCAAGTCTCCTTCTGGAAGTTACATGCCTCATTTTTATTTATGCACTTGCAATTGTTTACAAGATAGATTCCTGTTTGCACAGACTCCAACATGCCTAAAGTCTGTAATTCAGATTCTAATCTTCCTTCACTTGGCTCTTGCTGCTGCTAGCGCTCTTCATGATACTGTTGGGTTGCTTTTTGGCCATCTTCCCAGTTTCTCTGGTTTGCAGAATTCTAATCTAGTTTGTCATTAGTTCCTGGAGGTGCCTCAAGTAGTTCTCTCAGCAGGTATCCAAGAGCAAACAAACTAAATGAAACTGACTCACCATATTAGCTAGATGTGAAGTTTTCTTCAGTACTATCTCACTTCCATAATGAAGATCTACCCCTCGCTTATGGTGAGTAGGAGCATATTCCAGGGTGCCTCAATTCGGCACCTCACTCCTTACATTCTCAGGTCAGGTCTACCCTACAACATTTTGCTGGCATAGCTATGTCAGGCAGGAGTGTGGAAAACCTCCACCACACTTGACACAACCGCACTGGCACAACCCCTAGTGTAGACAACTATGCCGACCTAAGTGCTTCTGTTGCTATAGCTAATGCAGTTTGAGGAGATGGTGTTACTAAGCCAACAGAAAAACTTCTTCTGCTGGCATACGCCACATCTACACTAGGGGGCTATGCCAATATAATTGTACCAGCAATGCATTTGTAGTACAGACAAGGCTCAGTCCTGTGAGCTTGTCTGGCAATTTCATTGTCTAGATCATCATCCCCAATGCTGGTCTTATTGGTCTCCGAAAAACCTTTCCAAATTTTCAAAAGATGAGCCTTCTCCAGAAAGATGGAGGCAAACTGTGCCACCTCTTCAACCTGTGTTGAAGGCCTACCCAAAACGAGCACTTGAAGAATATTTAGATCCTTTATAGTGGATTTCATTCTCTCTTTCATGCTTTGATAAGCAGTCCGATGATGAGTCAGGTGGACAAGACTCATCAGCCATACATCAGGGAAAGAATTCTCTGTAGTAACTCAGAGCCTTTCCCACCTAGCGTTCCATCACCAGCCACTGGAGATATTTGCTACTAGCAGTCGCAGATCAACTACACGCCATCACAGGCAGTCTCATCATACCATGCTCTCCATAAATGTATCAAGCTCAGCCTTGAAGCCAGTTAAGTTTTTCAGCCCTAGTACTCCCCTTGGAAGGCTGTTCCAGAACTTCACTCCTCTGAGGGTTAGAAACCTTCATCTAATTACAGGCCTAAACTTGCTGATGGCCAGCTGATATCCCTTTGTTCTTGTGTCAACAGTGGTGCCTAACTTAAGTAACTCTTCCCCCTTCCCAGTATTTATTCTTTGACAACTGCAATTGGGGTCATGTTTTGAAAATTGTTTGCAACAACAACAGCTTTTTTTTTTTTATGTATATAAACTAAAGCAAAGACTCAGAGAAACTGAGAGGCCAGCCCATCCATATCCCCCACCTGAGCCAGTCCTTCAGGAAAATGGCCTACTTAGGTAAATCCTGTTTTAGAGAATGTGCAAGAATTGCCTAGTGGGTGCCAGCTGAGACTTGATTTATTGCCACCACTCAAAGCTCAGAAACTTTTGTCACCAAGGGGCATCATTACTCAAGAGGAGTCATTAGTTAGCCTTTCATTTCCAATTGCTGTACAAAATCAAAAGTTGGTCTTAACCTAATCAAAGTTGAAGAGGTCATGCACTTCTCCTGCATAATACGAGAATAAGCACAATGAATGAGTGCACACAACACACAACTCGCCTGTGTATTAGGTTGAAAACTCCTTCTATACCATCACCTTCATATGTTTTAAAAAAAAAAAAAAGGGAAGAGGGCCACTATGCAATGCAATTAAACAATGGACAGGAGTTAGTCCTCTTCCAGGGTTGTCATATTAAACAGAGCTATCAGCGGCTGCTGAACTTTGCAGCCAGATAAGTTTTATAGGCAAGAGCTCTGTTCAGATTTCCAGAACTGAATGCAGTCCTCTTATGAATCCCTCATGTTTTATATTTTAATTGTTTTGTTTTTCTGTGTTATTTGAGCTGGAAGAGACTCATTATCATTCATTTCCACCTGGATTTACTCTCTTCTTCCTCCTCTCCCAGATTAATTGGTTTAATTAGCGAAGTGTCTCATTCAACTGGCAAAGGGTCTTGTTCCAAAACAATGGTGACAAAAATAACCGTTTTACTCAAATTAAAGATTAGCTGCAAAGAAAGTTGCATCAACAGCAGCATGGTTTGAAAGCCCCCCCGCTAATCAATCTTCTAGGAGCATAAGCAAGAGCGAACACTAATACACACATCATTTTAAATTTCCTAGAGACACCCTAACTAGCTCCTACTCAGCTACAACACCGCTTTGTAATGTCACAACTGATAATTATTTGTCTATAGACAAAGGTCCATCACCAATTGGATGATTTCTCATAGGCATGACGGCAGAGCTGAATGCAAAGATATTTAAAACGAAACAGAAAATCCAACTGAAAATCCAAGCAGGGCACTCAAGACAACAAGTATAGGCATTCTGAGTTCAGAGGAGTAGCAAGTGGGGCTTCTGAGGATGGGCAACACCAAGGAATGTTTGTATTTTGAGAGGAAGATGCATACAAGAAAGAGGGAGGAGTTGAGAATGAAGGCAAGGAAGATTTGTAGTCAAAGGCTGTCTCAGCGACTTTCAGCACTAAAACTTTAGTCGTTCAGGGGTGTGAAAAAACACCCCCGAGCGACAAAAGTTTCAGCACTGAAAAGTGCCAGTACAGAAGCTACCGCCACTCGTTCAGGGTGGTTTTATTTTTTTTAAACCGCCGGGAAAGCTCTCCCCCAGCAATAAAGCGTGTCTACATTGCCCATGTCACAGTGCTGCCACAGCCGTGCTGTAACATGGGCAGTGTCGATATCAACCTGTACCTGTTACTTTGGGTAAGAGCCAGAGGTAGACAACAAATAGGCATCAGTGGAAATAAGGGAAGGATCTGCATGGGGATGGTGGAAGGATCTTGTTGAAAAAGTTGGTGCAGTCTTCCACAAAAAGAAAAAGAGGAGCTATGGCAGGTGAGTGGAGAGGGGTAAGGAGGGAGTCACCAGGTAGTAGATAAACAGCTGGAATTGTGGATGAGATCAACACAAAGATTAAAGTTAGGAGAGGGAAAAGTGGATGGGGAGGACAGGCTGTGTTAACATCCACTCAGAGAAGGAGCAGAGTTAGTGCTGTTTGAGGCTCAGCTTCCCCATTATCTGCACACAACAGTTTACAAAGTGTATTTAACAGTTTTTCGCAGTGTTTTAAAAGCTTTTAGAATAGAAAAAGCCAGCACAGCTTCCAAGAACTGCACTACATCAGTGATTCAGTTGAAGACACTACAGCAAAACTGGCAATTGTGACAGACACTAAAAATAGGTTAGTTTTGTGTGCAGAATACTCCACTGAACCTGCTTTAAAGGTGAGTTAAAAAGGAAAGTATTAAGGAAGCCCTTTATTTCAATAGTAAACTTTTATTTTTTCTTCCAGGCAACTCAAGATTCATGCTCACCACCCAGTTTTGAAATAAGATAAAGCATTCTACAGGAATGAGGTTTATATTTTTACAGAGCCAAGTTTTGGAGGAATGCCATGGAATATTTTTTCAAGAATCTGCAAAACAGCATGTTAACAAACACGAAAAGCCTGTTTTCAAAGAGTATTTGAGTTACTAAAACAAATGGCAAACAGTCATTTTTAGAGGAACATTCTAAATATAACTGCGGTTTGATGCTAGAGGCAGGGAAAATAGTGAAGCGTCAAGTGTTTCTGTTACAATGTGACTTTTCTGGAATGATAAAGCAGCAAACACTTGCCAAATCAGACACGATTCAGAGAGGAAGAAGCAACCAGTGGCCTGGAGGGGTGGGGAGAGAGGAGAAAAGTTTTGGTCTCCGATGCAAATACATTAGGTTCCGCAGTTGGAGTCTCAAACAGTCAGCAGCAGCCCAATTAAGCCTATCAATTCCCGGAGTCAGAGCAACCTAACCTCATTCATTCGCACCCGTAAAGTGTGGTAAGGGCTACAATGCAAGAACCCACATTTTAAATGCTGGTTTCGCTCTCAGCTCTGTCAGAGCTAGAGCAGGACTCAGTAGGGCCTGTCTGCACAGAATTCCCGAAGTCACCCTCTCCCCTGTGTCTCTCACCACCCACACTGCGGCTGGAGAACCTCTCCCCAAAACTCAGCCAGCCAGTCAGCCCGCTCACCGGCGCCAACCAAAGACAGCCCAAGTCCTCCTGGGCACGGGGCTCGCTAGCCCCCTGAGCACTCGCCCGGCCGGCGGTTAGCCAGGGGCAGGCGCTCTGCGGCGGGGTGGGGTAGGGGGCAGGCGCGGGGATCTGCTTACAGTCGGAACATCTGCTCCATGTCCTTGATCTGCCGCCGGCTGAACTCTTTGAATTCGGTGTAGGGATTGAAGACCTTAGCCTGGCGGGGCTGGGCCATGCCCTCGTTGATATCCTGCCTGCGGCTCAGCTTGGCGCCCAGCTCCGAGTCGGCGCTGGCGAGCATGGAGCTCCTGCCCTCCTCCTCCTCCTGCCCGGCCGGGCCAGACGCCCAACCCGCCGCTGCCTCCTCTCCGCCGGGCGCGGGCTCCGGGCCGCTCTCTTCTAGCAGCAGCCGGCGCTGCAGCTTCTGGGCCAGTTCGTCAGTGGCCATGGCCAGGCGCGCGGGGGACAGGCGGGACCCGCCCTGCGCTCGCACGGCGAGTTCACAGCCCGCGCCTGGCGGCCGCCCCTGAACTTTATTCCCAGACTCCAGGAGCAGGGCGGGGTGGAGAGTTAAGGTCGCGCCGGGAAGTTCCGTCGCCTGCCTGACACGGGCGGCGCCAGAAACAGCCCCAAAAGCCAGGTTCTCTGGACGCGCTCCTCTTAGCCCAGCCCCTTCCACACCCAACTCCACTACCTCACACACCCTGCCGGGCCCACCTCACCCCACTCCTAGCCCAGCCCCCTGACCCTTCCACATCCAGTCCATCTCACTCCCCCCACACCCAGCCCAACCCACCTCACCCCACTCCTAGCCCAGCCCCCTACCCCTTCCACATCCAGTCCATCTCACTCCCCCCACACCCAGCCCAGCCCCACTCCTCCACACACCCTGCCCAACCCACCTCACCCCACTCCTAGCCCAGCCCCCTACCCCTTCCACACCCAGTCCACCTCACTCCCCCCAAAACCCTAACTTCTGCCCCACTCCCCAGGGCTGGCT